TTCACCTTCCACCATGGAATGGATGACACAGCATAAAGGTTCAGGACAGGTATTAGCCCCTGGACTTTCTAGCCTTTAGAACGCTATAGTAAATCTGTTCTTCATAAGTTAGCCAGTCTTAGGTATTCAGACTACACAATAATCACCAAAGCAGTGTCTGAAAACCAATTGTTTCATTTATTTTGTGTGGCTCTTTAGCTGGTGGTGATGCAAAGATAAATCTAATTCATTATATACCATTTTGCCTGGTAAAAATTTCCTGGTTATCTTTGATTGGCTGTCAATCACTGGGGCTGTTTATGTTGACAGCCAAATATTTTTGTATTCATATGCGTATTGATCTATGGTTCACTGGAAAATACTTGGCCCTTCAAGAATTTTTAGTGCTCTTTAGCTATATCACCCTGCATTATTTCATACCTGGAAAATGCTTTGGGACTAGTTAATCCTATCACCACAGCACCATAAATTGAGATTTCGCTCTGCTTTTTATAAGCTTTTGTGCTGTCTCGTAAGTTTCCCATATAGGAAGAGTCCTTTGGGGAAAGTCGGAGGCACACCTGACGCCCCTCAAGTTGCAGCTTATTCCTTTTCCACACACTGAGAAGAGCTCTGTCGGCTTTACTTTGCTCCCACACGTGCCCAGAATCAGCAACCAGCGGGGGTAAAATGCGCAATTTCAGATCACCAGGCACAATTGTTTTCCTGATAATTCTAGTTCATCCAGTCCTAGTTGCTGCCAGGTCTCTATGGCACCTAAAAATAAGACACTACCCCTCAAAATTTTCTAACTTTAGACTAGCCCTTGATTGCTAGGTCTGAGGATTGTCAAATTCCTTTACTTCATCCTCAAATACTCTCCATCTAAATCACTTTCCAATCTATACAATGTAGTTCTTTCAATTCAGGTTTGCACAGAACACGTGTGTATTTAAAATATTCTTAGCCTGCTCCTTGATACCCTTCCTCTTTTCTGAGATCCTGATAAGGGCAACAGCCATCCCCTGACCCAATTCTAACTTCTAACTTGCAACTGTAACTGAGAACTACTATAATTGATAGCGAAAATCCCTAAAACCAAGAAACTAAAAGAGTACGAAGTCATGGCTTTCAGTATCAGTTGATCTGGAACTTTCACTGTGAGATCAAGGTACACAGGTTTGTAATGATCTCAACTCTCAGTTGCTCAATATCCTTACCGGGTCTCATAGATCATTACTATTAAAAACACTTTGGAAATGGTAATGAAGGGGGCTGGGGAGATGGCTCAGTAGAATAAGCGCTTCCTTGGCAAGAGCAAGGGCCTGAGTTCAATCCCCGGTTCTGCAAAAAAAAAAAAAAAAAAAAAATAGTAATGAAGGGAAGTTAGCTTGGGAATATGTTTGGGGTTTTATAATACGTAACATATGAACTTAGGCCTTTTCACCTCAGACAAAGGGAAAAGACTCAGGACAAGAGTTTCTTTCATAGAAAAACTAAATGCTGAAGAATGCTAACCAGTGGGAGAGACCTAACAGTTCTCTTCAGCATAGTGCAAGTGGCTGGGAGCTGGAGAATGTGTGAGGAAAAAGGTGGCATTCAGATCTGGGCATGTGCAGCTGAAGTGACCGCAAAGGCTGGGCGGAAAGGAAAGAGAGGCTCACAAGGTCTCTGATGATACATCGAATGACCTCAATCCAAGCACACTAGAAGTGTTTTAGAAAGCACATTTCAACCCAGGTTTGGCTCTGAAACCTGGTGTTACTTTCAATAATCCAAGTACATGGTGTTTAGAGAGCATCTGTACACAGAATGTACATCAAACATCACTCTGTACAGTCATGGGTACAGAGTGATGTTTGATGTACATTCAGGCTTGAGGGCAAAGGTTCTGGTCCAGTCCTACTACCACAGGTTTTCATTATCCATCATTGTTATATCCCTTCATCTCACTCTCTTAAATTCAACTCAGCTGAATCCTCAGAGTAGCAAATGTAGGGAAGCTTGGTTATTTTAGGAAAAGAAACCCAGACAACTTGTGTAAAAAACCTTGTGAAATAAAGGAATGGAAAACAAAGATCACATCCCCATGTTACTGAAGACCATCTGAGTGATGTGCTGTGAGGATGAAGTATGTAATCAATTTTCATATAAAATTAAGTAGTTTGAAAAACAAAAACAGGGACGGTCCAAGTTAGTGTTCCCCAACACTGAATATATTTTAGACTCATCTGGGGAGCTTCAAAGAACCCAGCTCTTCGGCCCTCACACTGGAGGTTTCTATGTAACCAAGACGGAGGTGGCAGAAGGTGGCATTTATGGAGTCTCCACAGCACGGGATGATAGTGAAATGTAGTCAGTTTAAAGAAAATCTTGGAAATTAAATCACTGTATTTGAATTCTCTCAGTTAATGTTGAAGTAGCCTGGAACAAGCAGAGAAAAGCAGCAGAGGGAAGGACACTACTTGTATACCTGTAGCTGTATCTTCTCCTTTTACTCAAATATACTGACAATTTTATATTCTTTAGGTTCTGAGATGATCAAGGCAGACAAATCTTGACAAGATAGCAGAAAATAACTCAAATATTATTGTTGTATAATACTTTTATTACACTTTTTGAGGAAAAATACCAAATTTCTTAAGTGTTACATCATAGAATTTGCAGGCATGTCAGAGTCCAATGGCAAATTACATTTGGAGAAAAGTTTTGAAGTCCATATCTGTATACCACTCCTTTGAAAAATACTGAAAAGCCGCTCTGTACCTTGGCATTAAAGGTTACAAAAAGCACCATTTAAAGGAGGACTCATATTTAATTCCCTTCTAGTCATTTCCCCCTCACAGCAGACATACAGCTACTCATTAAATGCTTCAGAATAATGCCAGCCAACATCCTCCTCCAACTTACCAAAATTCAAATGTCTCCTATGCAGGACCTAGGGCAGTATGACTGATCACTGAGTTGTCACAGCCTTAAAATTGCAAGCTAGGTAAGCAAATGTCTGAGGAGGGGAATAAAAAAGATGACGACAATTCCTGGTGTAGTACTTAACACCAACATCTCCTCAGCACTTGACATGACTCATAAAATCCAATTTAGCATTTCACAACATACTTAGGGCAAACCACTGTGCTGTGCACAATACATTTAACTCCAATACAGAAGCTAATGCAAACTTTACTTTTTAATGAAGTGTATTCACTTCAAAACACAAGCGAGGAAAACAAAGCAAGACAAAAATCCCAATTAGAATTCTGGAGGAATTTCATTGCCAGTTACTCAATTTTGTAAGTAACAGATGAGGGTTGTTTTTTTTTTTTTTTTCCTCTTTCCTTCATTCTTTTTTCTTCTAACTTTTATAAAAGATCTGGCTTTTCACTCTGGGTTCATTGCAGAAACCACATTCCTTCAATCTCCAGTTGTGTTTGGCACATAAGGAAAGACAAATGCCTACAGCCTACAAAACTTGGGATGATCCCTACCCTACCCAGTCCTCCATCCCATGGCTAACTGGAATCAGCAGCAAGAACTTGGCATTCAGGACAAGTCAAAATAATGTAGGAACAAATTATATATTTGCTCTAAAGACCATGCCCCAAATCACTAGAATGTGAGGGTAAAGAGATCTCTGAAAATAGTATGTATTTGAAACACACACATAGACTATTGCTTATCATTTTTAGTTGAGGTCAAAATTTTAAAAGCCCTATTTCCCCAATTAAAAATAGGGAATTCTATGATCTGTGTTTCTCCTTATTTGTACCTCGGATTAACACTATCTCAGCCTGGAGGTATTACTTCTTTCCAACCTTCATGTTAGCAGCATGCATGGAATACAATCTTCAAATGCTTTCAGTAGATAGAGACTGAAAGTACTTGGAAGAAAGTAAGTTGGCCTGGCTTGCTGGATCCTCTCAGAAACTTCTCTTGAATAGGAATGATAAGGGACAGAAGGAAGACGTGCTATCTACTGCTAGATTTTGAACAAAGAGAACCAAGATACTACTAGGCTATTTCTGATTTTAAGTTTTTTTTTTTAAAAAAAAAAAAAAAAAAAAAAAAAAAATTCAGTAGTATGTATTTTGTTTCCCGTCAAGTAAGTCTTCAGTTTCCTACTGTCCTTCTCAGCTCAGGCACTTTTCTTTTTCCAAACGATGGAAATGCAAATATTGCAGTTATTTAAGGGCCAGCCCTTAAGTACTATTTTCTTTCTTTTTTGTTGTTGTTGTTAACTATGGCTCTGTAAAATGCTCCCAGTCACAAATAAAACAAAACAAGGCTTGTCATTTGCCTTTACTCATTTTCATATTCTGCCAAATGTGCTTCTGCAGAAAACAAACTACCCCTTTAACTAATCAAGATATAAAAGGACGAGTGAGCTGTACTTTGGGCTACCTTCCTCCCTCCCCCGCCCTCCAGAAGTTTCCTTGTCACCCACCAGGAGAGGCTTCCCCAGCCACGTATCAACAGGACAGAGATGGCACCGAATGAGTCATCACCCAGGCCTCTTACTCATCCCTTTCCACACAAGCTGGCAGACCTGTTTCAGGTCCAGCTGAGAAAACACCTGGAGAACTCAGGAAATTGACACTGCACATTCCCACATCCGAACATCACCAGCACCAAAACTTACTTTCATCAGGGACACACCTAATTCACAGAAGCATATGGCCTGAGACAAACTGAAGGGACCTTTTCTCCTGCCCCACTATAGTGGTACATACACCTTTGTGGAGTAAAAATTTTAATACACATAATTATGTTTCAATACTGTTGACAATAAGAAGTACAACAAAAGCCTCTCTGTAACCACCAAGATTCTGAATCTTCCTAAGTGGCCCACTTACTCTACGGATACTGGATAGAAACCAAATTCCAATACAACTAACAACTATCTAGATCCTGAGAATTGGTTATAAGACTTGGCCTAGATTTTTAAAATGGCACACCATTCAAAAATGATTTGGACCACAAAAAATTCTCCTGAAGGTAACTTTGAATGGCTAACTCAGTTTTTCCTTTCAACAATTAACAAGTACCAAAGCACTAATGCTTTCCCTACAAACAACACTGCCACTTTACTGCTCCATACCTGGGATCAAAGAGGTCAACAGACTCAAAGACAACTGTGTTGTCATCTCTGCTTGGGAAAAGTAGTCAGAAGAAAGCTACACTAACCTGTGGGTGCTCTTTCAGTGTGGCTGGGCTCACGGCAGCAGTCAAGGGCTATCTCAACTATCCAACACTTGGGTTTCCTTAAATAAGGAATGTCTGACTTTATCTGTCAAATGGAGAGGGCACGATACTTGGGGGAAATGCTCTACCTCTAAACCTCAAGGGTAGATTGAATACTTTTCAGTCCATAAGCAGGTATCAGTGATTCTCTTCATCATCAAACATATTTTTTTTTAAAGAAAAAAAGGATCTTGTTAACATTTGGTATAAAGAATAACACTTTTCATGGTTAGGAATGCCAGAGATAAGTTTCCTGGGTTGTGGCTTTATACATCTGTGTTAAGGGAATCCACTGTGTGCACCAAGTGAGCTTAAATGGACCAATCTCTACAGCAGTACTAGTGTAATGCTGCATGCAAGGCTGGCTATATTAATGTAAAGTTGTAGATTTCTTTAGAAAGGAAAATCACCATTTTTTAAAAACACGAAATTCTTCGATAGAGCCTCTTAAGACCAATGAAAGGCATTTTTTTAAATTAAAGGAAAAATGCAGGCTCACAAAAATCTGCCAACGATGAAAGACACAGTTTTGCTTGATTCCAAGTCTACCTACAGAGCAGTTGCTCTGAGAAGGTAGAAGCAGGGCCAGGCTGGGTTCAAAAACCTACAGGAATGTGCTACACTGCTGAAGCTGTAGCTCCAAATTAAAACTACATCTTCTGTCTTATAACGCTGAGTCCTATTTCATTCCAGCAGGAACACAGTGGCCCAAACCTGTAACAGGCTAACCCTTCTGGCATCCCTAGTTTTAGTGTGTGTCAGTCAGACCTCACACAGCTTTTCAAAGGGGTTACTTACCCAGTGAGTTTTGCATTAGAGGGGTCAGGTGCAGAATTTGAAGGTTATTAAAAGAATAAATGAGAGGGAAAAACGGGTTCTTTAGGGGCAAGTTGTAGCAAATAAAAAACACAGGCCATGTCACATACTGTGGGAAGACAGAGAGCCCATGCAAGAAAAGTCACCCCTGCAGCGACGTAGCTCTAAGTAGGGCGGCAGTCCAGCCCCAGTGCATCCCTTGGATAGCCAAGGCAGTGGTGGCAGAATCGCCACTCAACAAGGATTCTAAGAGTTGCTATTCTTTCATTTTAAGAAAGAATGCTTCCTGTGGTTAATTATTCCCTCAGGTCCCCTAAACAGGTCGTAGTGAGTACCCACAGGCAGAAATAATACATCTAGCTGGGGCTAGAGGCTTCCAGTAACCTTCCTCTCACACATATATATATAACCTTCCTCTCATATATATTTTTTTCTTAAAATAAATTCCATGAACTCATAAATCTCTTCTCTGCAATCAAATGCAAAAGCAGAGCATCCTACTCAGAGGCTCTGAAACACACACATCAATCAGCCTCAAAGCAAATCAGCCTTCCAGTCTCAGAGAAGACTGGTTCAGTTCACAGGCAAGGAAGGGGCTTCTCCTGAATCCTCAAGGCAGGAAGGATGCCTTCAGATGGGCTTGTACAGCAGCGTAGTGACGTATTTCTTCTTGTAGCGGTGGGTGGCACTAAGGACCATCACACTATCCTGCAAGGAAAAGAAGCACACACGGCTAATTCATTAGTTCGGGCCACAGGCAGCTGTTCCCAGCCATTAGTCCTTCACAGCTATTCACTTGTTACAGAGATAATTTAGCTGTAGTAGAAAGAGGTCATCTTGAACTGTAATCTGAATTCCTGTATCATTAATTCGATAGCCGTGGGTAATCCACTTACAGTTTCTGGGCCTTTTTCCCTCATGATACAAAAGATAACACCTATCATCAAGAAATTATGATTACAGGGTAATATGTGACAAAGAACTTGACACAGGGCTAGAGACATAGCTCAGCGGCACAGGGCCTGCCTACTGAGCACAAGGTCCTGGTACCAAAAAAAAAAAAAAAAAAGACACATAAAAAGTGCTGAATAAATACTAGCTTCTTACCTCACACTTTTCATCACTTTAAATTCAATACTAGGTTTAAAACTAGTGAAAAAAAATGGGAATATTCTATTCTCCAGGTCTAGAAGGAAATCAAGTGCAGTGAGAAGGAAACCGATCCTTCTCAAAAACCATTTGTAAGCTCTTAAAGAAGTCTACTTCCCACTGAATGCCAGAGATGAAAAGTCTCTGATGTAAAGGGAACTGAAGAATCTCCAGCTATTCTTGAACATAGTAGATAAAATTCTCCTTAGAAATACACTCAATCCAATGGACCAGTTTCAAATGGCCTAAACAAGGCGAGAAACCCATGAATGAGTCAAAGCCAAGATGAACCAGAGCACTTCAATTAGGTCAGCCCAGTAAGAAGAAAATAAAGGTTATCATTTTTCAGGCTATGCTACAGAGTGCGGGTACGCTACAGGAGATGGCAGGCCTATGATACCAGCTGATAACTGAAGAGCAATTACAAGAAGTAATAAAGTTGAATCAGATCCCAAACAACCCCAAGAAATCCAGTTTAAAATCAGTCTGTCTTCCTACCTTCCACTGCTCTGTATTATGCAAAATGAACGTTTCTAAGGTTACCATTCTATGACTAGTGTATGCTGATAAACAGCCTAAATATGACAGAAGCAAGGCAAGTACAAAGCTTGGTGACAGAGAAGACTTTATTGAAGTAAGAGACAAGTAAGAGAATGACCTGCTTTAGGGGGATCTGGAGTAATGACACAGGAAAGAACAAGAAACCAAGATAAGAGGACCGGACCTCCGTCCTGTCTCTGGTACTTACTGGCAATCTGACCTTCTCTGAGCCTTAGTTTCTTTATCTATAAAACAGGGGTTAAAAATAATACTTACCTCACAAGGTAATTACAAAAATGAAATTCACATATATTTACATACTACCATGTAATTTAAGTTAGTGCTTTTTAATAATCTAGCTACATACCTAAGAAATATAAATGGTTTAAAGAAAAAATTACTGAGGCCCACCCTAGATGCATGAACTTTGATTCTCTAGGGATGTAGCCACAGAATTTGCACGCTCACAAAATTCCATAAGTGATTCTGATAATTATCAGCCTAGCTTGACAGCCACAGAGCTATGTAACTATTCTAATAACCAAACTACAATGGATGGCAAGACACAACAGAACAGTTATTTTCAACCCAGAGTCTAAAATAGCAGAAAAACAAAGGCCTCTAGAGGTTCAGGGAACGGGGAAAATCTGGTCATATCCTCCTCTACCTACTGTGTAGGAGAAACGCAAGTTCTTGGATATCTATGACAGAAGCACCTGAAAGTAGTTCAATTTCACATTTAAAAAGTGGAAGCCTTACTACCACATTCACTGGAAGAAATATGATTTTTTTGTGAAGTGCAACTGGTAGAAATTCAAACTTAAGGAAGTAATGTAAAGTTTTCAGCCACCAGAAAAGAACCCGGGAAGCTAGAAAGTCTATTCAGTTACTGAACAGTCCCGCTAGTCAGAACACAGATACAGAGACTGATATTTAAAATCAACCCAGTAAAAGAAAGAAAAAATTCTATAATTTGACCATTACTATCAGCTTCAGCTTTAGTAAGTACAAGAGCAAGTAACAACTGTAGAGTATGCATCACCTTGAGCCTCTCCTTTCAAGGAGCTATACAGAATCAAGACCACCACTCACCTTAATGGACAATGCATAGAGGTGGTTTAACATAACATGGTTGGGCTCAGGGAGTAAGGCTGGGTCACACTAAGAAAGAGGAAAAAAAAAATCAGTCAATGGGATTAAATGTATAGCAAAGCCAAACAGTCAATGCTATCTTAGAACACTTTGAGAGTACTAAGAACTCTAGAATAGCTTATCTCCTTTAACTAATAAAAAAAAAAAAAAATATATATATATATACATACACACACACACACACACACACACACACACACATAACACATTCCCATTATAGAAAATTTGGAAAATTTCAGTACAGGCAGAAACACTGAACTTCAACAGCTACTACTGTTCCTTAATAGACCTAAACAAAATGTTGCCTATAACAAATGATGGAAGATTTGTGTTAAGTGGTTAAAAATAAAATCAGTGGAACTCAACTACAATAATCAGAGATGTAAATCATAAGCAAAAAAGATCTGTAATCCTTTTGTACATCTATCTAAGTGTCTCCAGTTGGAACAGAAATAGCACATGCTGCTTGTAGCAATAGTTTAGGCCTGATTTCATGAGGAACAGAGGCAACTGTATGTTGTGCATCTGCTTAGGTAAAACTCAGTCTTGGAAAACAGAATCTGTAAGTACAATGCTACTGGTTATGTATATGATTTATAATCTCACTCTAAAATTATTGAGTTTTGGCCCTGATGGTCCTAGAAACCCCAACATGCTCAGGATACTCACAGAAATATTAGTGTCCTTATTAAGAATAACTTGAAGTAGGTGAGGAGGAAGAATAGGTGGAGATTTGAATCTCTCCTCAGATCGAAAGACATACATTTCTTGACCATAAGGCCCTGGAGGTGAGCTGGAAAGGTCTGAAAAATACGCAGATATGAGGGAAAGATAGAAAAACTGGTAACAATACCTGGAGAAAGCTATCAATACATGTCCACTAATACTAAATACTAAAGTAGCCATGGCTTGTCACCTTGTGGCCTAATGGACCTACAACTATTAAGGTACCAAAAGTAAAAGTCCATGGCCAAGCAATGGCCGTGACTCATCCACATGGCTGACACTGACAAAGGTTCTACAATCTGAGGTACAGGATCTCAGGATAAATCCTGAGGGGATTTCACTGACCTTATCAGACCCAAAAGCTACAACTCTTGTTGCATAGGTCCTGCTTTACCTTGGTCTTAACCATCCAGCAGAAAAGTATAAAAACAAAGTATAAGAAGAAAAGCCATGCTGTTATGTTGAGCTGTAGGGGGCACAGGTCAACAATTTCTGTTGCCAGTGGAGTGGAAGACCCAACAGTATTATGTTAATCTCTTTTTTTTTTGGCAGAACCGGGGATTGAACTCAGGCCCTTGTGCTTGCCTAGGAAGCACTTATTCCACTGAGCCATCTCCCTGGCCCCTCCAATACTATTATGGACTACTGGACTCTTTTAGAATATTTTGCTGAGTTAACATACCTATAATATTCAAATAACGGAACTTAACAAAAAAGGGGATACAGATGAATGTCCATTTTGTATCTGTGTATTCAAAATGGTTAGGATAGATATATAGTTGCATTCTCTTAATGAATAGAGGGATTTGTTTTAATATTGTTTGTAAATAGGATATCATGTCTGCATCTTGTACAGCAATTAACCACTAGGAAGAATGTATACAATGTGTTAATTATTGAAGCTGTCCTACCGATTTGGTTTGAAACTGTCTCATTGCTATTTGTTTCGCAATAAAATTATGGGGGGGGGGGGAAAAAAGTAAAAGTCCAAGTCATCCTGAACATAAAGCACAAAGATCCCCAACATGGCAACGTGATCCCATGAGAAGATGAGAAGGTCAAAATCTAGACTTGGGGATGAACTACTCCACTTATCAGCTGCATGACAAGACAATTACTTTTACGTGACCAATTTCTTCATCTGTAAAATAAAAATAATCATCTTTTGCCCTCTTTCCCAATGTGTTTGAGGAAAGCAAAGGGATAACGGTTATTAGGATGTCTTATAAACTTTAAAATAAGGTTAAAAAGTCAGATCTCCTCTTTTCTCTACCTAAGCAAATATGGCAATAAGCACTAGGACAACTGATAACTACAAAAACTGCAGCAATATGGAGAAAATGTAAGAGTGGTCATTAGGAAAGGGAAAAGCAAAACCACAATAAGATATAATTTCTTACTAGCTGGCTTTAATCAAATAACATAGTAACAACTAGTGGAGAGACTGAAACCTTCATACTACTACTGTAGTCTACAGCATGCTACTGGGTATATAAACAATATATTCACTTCAGGAAACTGTTTGGCAGTTCCACAAAGTTAAGTATAAAGTTTCATTATGACCCAGAAGTTACATCCCTGGGTACATGCCCAAGATGAAACATATATCCATACAAAAATTTGTATGGGAACATTCATAGCAACATTATTTATAATAGTCAAATCATGGAAATAATCCAAACGCTTACCAACAAAGAATGGCTAAACAAATGGTTTAACATGGAATTTTATTCAGTCATAAAAGCAAAGCACTAATACATGCTATAACATGGATGAATCCTCCAAACATTATACTCGTCGAAGAAGCCATACACAAAAGAGCACAAATCATATGACCCTATTTATATGAAATGTCCACAATGGGCAAACCCATAAAGAAAGAGAATAGATTTGTGCTTGACAGAGACAAAAGAAAAAAGGAAATGGGCAATGAGTGCTACTGAGTACAAAGTTTCTTTGGTGGGGGATAAAAGTACTCTGGAATTTTAAATAGCAACAGTTTCTGTAGCAACAATTATAGAGCTGTCACTATTCTAAAAAGTCTTGACTTGTACAACAAAAAGGGTGGATATGTTATGCAAATTATATTTCAAAAATATAAAAAGAGTACAGACTAGAAGGAAAGGTACAAACATGGAATTTTTGTTTAAAATGTAGCCAGAAGTAGTGATACATGGCTGTAATCCCAGCACTCAGGAAACTAAGCCAGAAGGAAAGCCTAAAGTTCAAGACTAGCCTACGCTGCATGGTAAGTTCAAGGCCAGCCTGAACTGTCCTCTCTCAAAAACAAAAAACAAACAAACAAAAAAAAAACCCCAAAAAACAAGTAACTTAAGAACTTAAAAAAACTCAGTAATGTTTTCTAGTCTCCACTGGCAATGATTTTAATAACCAGTTCGTTTAAAGAACTCGGACTTCAGTTAAACACCTATGAAGCAAAAGGAAAAAGTAGCAAGAATAGTGATATCAGTATCTTAGAAACATACAGAAACTGAAACTTTTCAAAGCACTTTCAATGATTTTGTCGTCCAGGCCACAAAACTGTGCTGCGGGCCGGGGAGCTGGCTCAGTAGAAGAAGCGCTTCCCTGCTAAGTGCAAGGGCCTGAGTTCAATCCCCGGTTCAATGATTTGACCAATGTCGTAGAAGGAGCTAGACACTTGCTACATAAAAAAGTAACTCCCTGCGCACACACTGACATCGATTACCTATAGATTCCTAATAAAACCTATGCTAAGCCTTACCTCAGCGGACGGAAACTGGGCGCAACAGGGAACAGAGAAATATTCAAAGCGTACTAGTCCTCTCACTACATAATTATGGTTGACTATTATCAGTTGCTCTGTGAGAATCATATAACGCAATCATATAATGCAAGTTAATGCATAATTCAATTCATTTTTAACCCTTGTAATGTACAGCTTAACTCGGCTTATATAATGAAAACAACTATTTTCAAATTTTTCCTCAACAGGCAATCATTACACTACAGATAACTCTTTCAGAAATGTCACAGGGCTCCTTGAGCCCCAAGATTCTGATGTATTTCACTTAAGATGTACAGGAAGTTTTTAATGTAAAGATATCTTAAAACATACACGTCTAACCCTACACAAGGCTGAAACTGGAAAACACAGCCTGTTCTCAGGCAAAGAATTGCAAAATTTAACAAGGCTTAACATTCCAATGCCAGCTGCAAGACAAGTGGCACTGTTCTGCTTGCTTTCAAGTTTTCCAGAGACCTCCCACCTCAAGGACAGCTCAGCTCAGTCTTAGGCAAGGATTTATTCTTCCAGGTTATGGTGAACAGGAAGAATAACGCTCATTATATGACAGGAGCCCCCATTAGCTTGCATAAGGCAAAACACGTGTAACCAACTGTAGAGTATCCTGTTATCTACCATTTTACTTCCTTCTAACAACCTATATAAGGCACTATAAAACCCAAGGCGGGGCTGGTGATTGGGACTTCACTGTCCCCAGTCTGCTAGCACAATAACAGTAATAAAAGCTGGACGCTTTCCAAAGGTCCTCGGTGTCTTCCTGTCTTCCTGCCGGCCTGATCTCAAGTTCTGTACTGAGATCAAGGTACTGTGATTGTGGAGAACACTGAGCCCAAGCTCCTGGTTTTACTGTCAACGAACTGAGCACCCAAAAGATTGAGGGGTGATCAGATTGATTGTCCTTGCTGGCAAAACTAGTCAGTAGGTGAAACGGGCTTTGAACTCACAATAGTGAAGCATGCTTAGTGGAAATACAGCTTATAGTTCTTTAGAGGAACATCGCTCTTAATGTAAAGTTATAAAGTAGTAACTGTGTGGGAGACTATGTGAGGCCTTGTTGACCTTTCCTGGGATGGAAGAGGGGGTGGAACGCTGCCCTCCTGTGTCTGTGTGCAGGAATCCTGATGCTCACAATACCCCTGAGCACAACATCAGCCAAGGGCTAAACAAAAAAAATTACATATGGGCTGTAAAGTTATGTTCCTCATTAATCATTTACGGTTTCTTGAACTTTGAATTGCAGGACTGCTAAACACTGCCTTGTTTTATCTAATGAAAAGGAGACCTGTGGATTCCCAGGGCTCTTGCCTCCTTCAGACAGGAGCACCGCAGTCCCCCTTGGTTAGAAATTTGTCTCTCTTGTCTTTTATCCCTAGTTCTACCCCCTAGCGCAGTTTGCAGGCTGGCTCCTGTGAATGTGGTTTGCCAACTACTCTCCTGATACTACCTAAATGTAAGAAAAGAAGGCCTTGAGTTACAGCAGATTACGACAGAACTGCAGCAAAGAAACATGGACTGGTCTCTCTTACCACTTTTTAAGCAAAAACACATAAAACTGCAATTACCTACAAATTAATTGTGGTTTTTAATTTTTAACCTATTTTCCCCCAAGGATTACTGTATCTACAGAGTTTCATAAAACTGCTGAATTGCCAAGTCTCATATTGACAAGATTAAGCTGAGGCACCTTAAGAAGACAAACCAAGCACTTCTAACTTTTGTTGGTGATTCCACCAAACTCAGTGGAGAATCTGAAGTATTACTAGAAATATCTTTTCAAACTATATAGGCTACAGCCTATTAGTGGTCTATAAAAGATAAAATAGAAAAGAGGATGTCAAACATTCTACCACAGGACCTGTGTTAGGAGTTTAGGGCGGGGGGTGCAAAACAAACATTAGGTTGGCATGCAAAACAAATGTCTGATTTGAATCCTAGTAAAAAGTTTGAAATAAAATGCACCAGACTAAAATTTTTTTGCCGCAAAGAAGGGGACCAACTGTTTATAGGATATATAAGTATACATAGGGCTCAGAAGACTCCTGAGAAGAAATTGAAACATAAAACTTAAACACTTTGAGGAAAGAATATGTTAGTACAAGCAAAGCCCAGCATGAGAGGGCCAACTCTACCACATTACCTCGACACGATGTCTCAGAGCTTTCCATAGAGTCTAGCTTTAAAGCATCAAATACTTCAAAATCAGATTTCTTGACATGGATCAAGTTGTTAATTGTGCCGAGCTGACTGGTAACCACAGGCTGAAAGAGTAAACAGAAAAAATTACTGAATTCCTTTTTCAAAACCACTTGTGAAGGCCATAGAAAGAATACTAAAGGAAACCAATGTACTATTTAAGTCTTCTACTCAAGAATTTTTTTTTAACCAAAAACTTAACAAAATTTGGATTATATATGAAAAAATGATAGTTGTATTTTTTAGTTAAACTTAAGAATGACCACAGTTAGCACTTCCATCTCTTATCAAGAGAATCCTTGTGCACTGCGTGCTGTTGGCCATCAGTCCCAACACCAACGATAGCTAAAGTGAGGCTGCTAAATCAAGTCTACCCTTTGAGATGAAGACTTTACCTCTGAGGGATCATGAACCCATTGTCCATCCACAAAGAATTTGTATTGATGCTCTCCCTCAGGAAGGTCCAGGATGGCAACAAAATCATTATGGCTACAAAAGAAATCAGGTCAAACAGGTTCTTTTTAGAGAATAAAGTATGAAAATCAAGGTATGCCAGTGACTACTCATAATCCCAAGCCTCTGAATTCCTCATGGACCAAATAATGTGTAAATCAATTTTGCTTTCTATATCACCTTGGACATGTATTTGCCAACACCTCCCTGCCCCCTGCAATAACTTGTTTTAACTAGTATCTGGAAAAAAAGTCATTGATTCCCCAAAATGGATCGCTTTAGTAGATATTTTGATGACTTATAAGTATAAAGTAGCAAGCATATTTATTTTATTTTATTTTATTTATTTTGGCGGAACTGGGGATTGAACCTTGCGCTTGCCAGGGAAGCGCTTATTCCACTGAGCCATCTCCCCGGCCCGCAAGTATGTTTAGCATACAAAAATGTTTCCAAGTATTCTGTCCATACTTTGGTGAGATTTTTCTAGAGAATGGCTCATCATACCAAAGTTAAATAGTTCATTACTGCTTTGCAAAACAACAGTGGCAACAGCAGCAACAAAATCAGGTAACGTTTCTACGTAGTTGTATCTTAATTAAACATGGAGGTCAAAGTAACTGAAGGCTTCTCGCAAACACAGAAAAGATTTATGTGACACTCTCCTAAGAATCTAAGTACAAAGGGGTTACAAACGCACTTGAGGCAATAATTCTAAGTAAAACATCTCTGATTTATGAGGATTAAAAAATAAGGCCATAGATACAATAAGTAGTCCGAGAAAGAGGCACGTTCTTCAGAGAGCACATAGTAGGCAGACAGTAGTCTATCTTGGTTTCTATTCTAAAGGAAGTTAGTTCCTGGAGCCTGTAAACTCAACCATGACACACATCTTTACCTTTTATTTAATTTATTTATTTAATATTTATTTATTTAGTGTGTGTGTGGCCAGCTCAGCCCACCAGGGGGCGGGGCTGGCTGGCATGTGGTGCTGGGGGATTGAACCGCGGTCCCTGTGCTTTTAGTTTGTTCTAAGTAGGTGCTTTAGACCACTGAGCCATCTCACCAGCCAAATTGAGGTACATTCTTTTTTTTTTTTTTTTTGGCGGAACCGGGGATTGAACTCAGGCCCTTGTGCTTCTTTACCTTTTAATCAGTGGAATCTTGGTGCTCCAATTGTTGAAGGACCCAGAGATGAAGACTTCCTTGCCTCCTTCAGACCAGCGGATAACAGTGGGCCGGGCCTGCTGTGTGGGCTTTATGGAGTCATCCAAATCCTGCTGCCATGATACAAAGTCTTTGTCCCCAGGTAGCTGTAAGAAGGAGTAGGTCATCCCTAGAATAAATTGTGACCCAAGAATTCTTAAAAGGTTACTCTCCTTCCTAGGGTAAGGAGGGGTACTAGGCTTTTAAAGCTTTTAAGATTTAATATTGGCAAGCAAATCAGATTTTGAATAAGCTATAGAAAAAAAGTATCTGTTGGGAAGTTTAAGCTGGACAGTTGGCAGGTGCTGCCTTTCAAGAAAAATAACTCCCACACTTATGGCACGGATCTTGCACTCAGTAGTTCAGAGGCTCCCATGTAGACTAGAGACTGTGACAAACGGTGTGGAATCTCTCATTGGTACAAACAGGATTCATCTTAAATTTTCAAATCAACAATTCCAGATAATGTTTCCTGAAAATCGTGAAAAATATGGTGGGGATCCACAGCACACTCATAAACTTTATGCTGTTACCAAAATAGAAAGTTCAAAAAGATGTCCACCTTGGGAAAAACACACAATAAAGATGCTTGGATTCAAAAAACCACACATTCCTCAAGCTTACACTATCCCGTCAGTGAACGCAGAACTAAAGCAGTTACACATTCGCTAAGAATGAACCCCTGAAGCTTCCTCAAGGACTTCCAACAGAAGAGAACACGTCTAATACAACGCTTAAGAGCACTGGGGATTTGGTAGTGCAGTGTGAATTCTAAATCTTTCGGATGGAAACTGGCACGAGTTCAAGGCTAGCCGAAACTACAGAGCAGGACCCTAGCTCCAAAGAAAAGGAAAAAGGCCCGTGAAGCAGGAAATAAGGCTCTGTGACATGTCCTGATGCCACAGAGTGTCAGATTTTAAAATGTATTTTTAAAACTCGTGGGAAAATGTTTTCATCAAAATATACTTACCCACCCCCGAAACAACTAGAAAGACTCATGTAGGACCCAAAAGATAAAATGGCTCAAGTGCAGCCTAACAGAACTTAACATCTGCGTTCATATGGATCACTCACTCTTGCAAGGTGACTCTTAGAAACATCCTTACTGCCTGTTACTGTTTAACTCATAGAAGGAAGACAATCGTGTATGCCTGAGTATTTTTCTCTGAAAAAAAGAAAAATATAAAGTATGGTCTTATTAAAAATTAAGTCAGGTAACATTTTTAATTTTCCGTGTACTATGATGTTTCATTGGATTAAAGCCTTTCCTAGCTGGGGAGAAGCTGCTCCTTCCGGAGCCGGCCAGTTCAGAACACACTGTGACAATGAATACACACACTGTGGGGAGCAGCTACACACGTGCGTCACATCATGACTTCCTCCTGCTATCCCTCCATTCCTAGGTCCCCTTCCCATCGCCAGAAGGTCTACCTCCCTGCTTCCTGGCATCACTTACTGTGCTCTTTAAATTACTAATGCAATGGGTTTCCCTTATATGAGAAACCCATTATTTATTTAACCTATTTATTTAACCTCTGCACCTGGTTTATTTCACCTAGCATTATAGTCTTATTTTCCTTCAAATGACTAAACTTGCCTTTGTTTATGATAATAGCACTCCACTGGGACCATCTATCAGATTTTCCTTATCCATTCACCTGTTGAGGGACATACAGGCTGCTTTAAAGATTCAGCTACTGTGAGCTGGGTACACTTGCATCACTGTTATGTGACACCTTAGAAGGGACTCAGAAGAGGTATAGGTAGATCAAATGGAATCTTTAGTTTTAGTGTTTCGACGACTCTCCAGGCTGACTTCCTTACCAACCACCGACAATGTGGAAGGGTTTCTTTTCCTCTCCTTCCCACAGCCAGGCCAGCACTTCTTTGGTTCAGTTTGTACAGCCACTGTTTCTGGAGTAAGATGGAAAGCTCACTGTTGTTTTGACTTGCACTTCGTTAGTGGTCAAAATGCTGAATATTTTTTCACGTATCTGCTATTTGCTGTATCTTTTGAGAACTGTTTCTTCAGTTGTCTGCCTTTTGATCGGGTCTTTCACTTTGGGGGAGGTCTTTTATTTTTTTTTTTTTTTGAGTCATTTACATATTGCAGATATTAGTCCTTTTCTGAGAAGTAGCTGGTAAATTACCCATTCTATAGGTTATCTCTTCACTCTGTTGATTTTTTTACTTTGCTGTGCTTTTTAATTTTGTTTTTTAAATGTATTTGGTGCAGGGTCTTACTACGCAGCTCTAACTCAAAGTGATCCTCCAAACACAACTGCTGCCATCTTACTCTTCTGTTCACAAAGTCCTTTTGTACAACTGTGTCTTTAGGAACTTTACTTATTCTACTGTATTAGGTACTTTTTTCATTGCTGAGAGAAAATAACCAACACCCAAAGTTAAAGGAAGAAAAGTTTATTTAGCTCCCTTTACAGAGGTCTCAGTCCATAACCAGCTGACTCCAAGGCAGGGTGATGTGGCAGAGGGGCACCACAGAGAAACAGTTCACAGAGGACAGAAGATAGCAAAAATCCAAGGGACATTACGAGCGTCTTCTTACCTAGGGTGTTCACTCCTTAATCCTAGTGCCCCGAGCCTAGCACAGCACTCTGAATCAGTCCTAGTGTCACATACTACACCAGAAATTTCTGAAAAGCCCCACCTATGATTGCATGAGGCTCCGGGGAGACATCTAGACATAAGCCATAACCTCTACCTTCCACAAGGTTGTTTTAATATCCAGTCTTCTAATCCATTTTACCAGCATCAGAGATAGGGCTCCAGATTCATTCTTCTGCATGTGGATAACCAGTTTTCCCAAAACCATTTGTTAAAGAGGCTGTATTTTCTCCAGTGTGTGTTTCAGGCTCCTTTGTCAAGGATCAGATGGCAGAATCTTTCTGCATCCTCTATTCTGTTCCACTGATCCACGCCTGATTTTGTGTCAGTACGATACCAATTTTTTGTTTAGTTTTTGCTTTTAGCAGTGGGGATTTCAACTCAGGTTCTGTGCCCTGAGCTACAACCCCAGCTATATATATATATATATATATATATATATATATATATATATATATATATATATATATATTTGAGACAGGGTCTCACTAAGTCATTAGGTTGCCCAGGCTAGGCACCCAATTGTGATCTTCCTACCTCAGCCTGAGTGCTGAGACCACAGGTGTGCCTGAACCTAAGCCCCACTATGTGGTGCCTGGAGGCGCTCCTGCCTCAGGTGCCAAGCGCAGCTCGTAAGGTCAAGACCATTTGGACATTGGTGACAAGGACAGCCTCCCCAGGTAATGGTCATGCAGTTGTCCTGCACTACTTTCATTTCACAAGGTCCAGCTCATGAGCAGAAGCTCATGGCCAGAAAATGTCAGGACTGTGGGCCTTAGAGGAGGGCGGTATGGCCCCTGTCTTGGTGGCCTTGTTTCCTGTAGCCAAAGGGCTGTTGGGTGATCCCGGGGACACCAGACCCTGTTTGTGCACAGAATTAATTCACGGACCCTTACAGTGGACTGCATCTGGGGGTCTCACTTCTCTCCAACCACAGTATTCTGCAGCAGCATCTGGCAACAGGTTTAAGAGGACAAAATAGCACCTCAGGCAAAGGCCGCATCAAGGACCTGTGCCACGAGCCTTGGGAAGGCCAGGGTTCAGAGTCCAGGTCAGACAAATGATGAGACACAGATTCTCCCAAGGATCCTAGGGCCTCTGTACAGCCTTGTGTCCTGTCCCTGAGTAGGACCTTACCTCATGGAAGGACAGAAGGACAAGAGACTGAAGGGCTTCTTGAGCCCTTAGGTCCTACAGCAGGCACCCCCAGCTGCTGTGCAGGGACCCAGTGTGCTACATGCCGACTTCACCCAGCAGCTCACATTCCACCCGGAAAGGGCGACTCCAGGTAGCTAGGCAAGCGTCCACAGCCAGGCACCTGACCTGCCTGCCCTGAGAAGGGGGCTGGAGGAGGGTCCTGGTGGGCCGCATCCCGAGGTCCCGTGCTCCCCAACCCCAGACACCAAGGCCCGTGCCTAGCTCCCACACAGAATGCGCTGCCATCCTGCAATCAGCTGTCCCCACCTGCTCCGTTACTCTGGCCCTCCCCTCTACCAAGTGTCTCACTGACAGTACCAACCCCTTCCATGGCACTAGAGCCCTCTTGCTGTGACAAACTGCCAGGGTGGAGTGGCTTGAAGCCACCTGAGGGCCCTGGGAAGCAATGCATGCCCTTGTCCTCTTCTCTGCACCTGGTCTATAGCCAATGTTGTCCCTGCCTTGGTCACATGCATCTCCACGTGGTCCCCACCAAGACACTGTGCCTGGGAAGCAGGTGTCCACAGGGCCCAGCACAGGGACATGATGTCCTATGGACGGGGTGGTTGCTGCACCCACAAGGTCTGCCTGGGGCCAGCTCCTGAGAGATTGTACAGACACTGTCCTGCTATAACAGGTCTCCTCGCAGGTCCAGAGGGTGGTACCATAGGCTCGGTGCTCTGTCGCCTGCTGTTTTTTTCTGTCAGGAAAGTTGTGAGGTATATACACTACACTACACTACACAACACAAATGTGAAAACAAGACCCAGAGCAAGACTGAAGCAGCGTATGTCCCCGCCCTTCAGCAGCACTCTGCCTCCTGCGGCTCTCTGCTCTTCATTGCGGCACTGAGAATGCAGTGCAGAGCCAGCATCTCCATCCTGGGATCCTCTCAGAAGAGCGGCCAGAAGAGTTCCCATAGCAGACACTCAGGGCGCAGTCACACGTACAGGGCTCCTGACAGCAGCATTTGCTCCCGCCCATCTGGGAAGCCCGCTGCTCCAAATCCATCCATCCTGTTCTGGCGTGGAGATGAGCGTGCTAAGTACATTCTAAGCACACGCCTCACACTGAGCCACAGTACAGCTCAACAGTGATTCAGTATGACAGAAGAGCTGTGTTACTGCATTTTCTGTGGCCACCATCCTGTGCACTGATGCAGGACACAGGATCCCACAGGGTTTGGAGAACCTGACATCCACCTCCTTCCTGAGACATTGCTGGGCAGCCCACATGTCCTTAGGTCCCCAGAGAGACAGCACATTGTGCAGTGGGGCAGAGGCTG